CGCGGTTACGGATCCGCCGAGAACAATTCGACGTGCGTTAATTGACCATTTCGCTGGATCGATCAAGGTGCACCCGTATGTGGGCATCTTTTAAGGACGCCGTGTCATATTCTCACACGTGCACGTCGCTCTGATCTGATGTCTTACTTGTCGTGTCGTTTCGCGATCATGTTCTCCTCTCGTGTGCTGTCTTCAACAGATCTTATCGCCTTTTTAAGGCCATCGTCGAGATCGTCGATGGAATGTTGTTCGTTTGCTTCTGACGTTGTCCAACAAGTATACCTCAAGCACGAGCGACATTTTTCTTTTTCCTCAACTTTGACGTATAACATGATAGACAACTATTAAAAAAAAAAAGAAAGTATCGATATTTTTCTAGCGTCCTTGATATTTACTGTCAGCAATTCTGTCAGTACTGAAAATCTTTAGTATACATATATATAACGTAAAATATAGAAAAATATAGATTTTTAATACTGACAGTGAATATCGGAACACGAAGAATGTCACTATAAAGTAATTGTTCATAATTATTTGATTATTAAATTGGGAGTAAAAATATAGTAATAACTACTAAAAAATAGTAGTTATCTTTGAATCTATTTAATACTTATACATTTAAAAAATATGATTTTCTAATTTACAAACAAAGAAAGTTTCTTACAAATTATTCGTATTAGGAATTCTTCGATTTTATCTGCATAATTGTATCCATTTTGATAAAATAGTGGAGATGTGCGAATCAAGTATTTTTGATGTCGAATCGAATCGAATGAATTGACCAAATTTCATTTGAATCGAAGTAAATCGAGTGATTTCGAATCGAATCATTGAAATGTAATTTTTAATTAACAATATAATAATTATTAGACTGAATTTTAATATGCGGATAATAGGAAAATATTTCAATGTGAAAAAATAATATTGTTTATATAATATAAATTATTTTTAAAAAATATATATATATATCTATATTATGCCTAACTAATTAATAGTTTGTACTTGTAACGCTTGATAAGGACCTAAACCCGAGGTCGAAACGTAGCGTGCTATTTAATAAAGTTGGCCAGTTGGGTCGAATTAAGATACACCTAAGCTGGATATATATATATCTACATATTTAATATAAAAACTAATAAAGTATTTTTTATTTAATTCGCAGTAACTGAAACAATTAGGTGAAAAATGAAATAAATTATTAAAATACTCTAATATAGTATCGATACTATCGATTAATATTATTCAATTACATACATAGAAATTAAAATAAAATATATTATTTTATTATTAATAGTACTCGTAGCTTATTATTTTTTTACGCATATTTAAACTTTTACTTGCAATTTGATAGAATAACAAGTATATGTTAAAAATTAGAAATAAACTTTTTGATTGCTATTTAACCGCTCAATGAGCGGTTATAATACTGAATACACACTCACTGAATGCACCATGCACGTATTAACATGATCGTTATATTTTTGCTTATTAACGGGAAATATAATTTTATAAATTTGACAATGTAATATGATTTGTATTCGCTCTAGATTCAAAATTTTCGAATAATTCGGATTCAAATCATAGAAATTTGAATTTGAATAGTTTGCACATCTGTATAAAATAGTCGGATTTGTGTAGCTCCGCTGGATTCTGTGCTATGGTACATCATATATAATAAACAACTTTATTTATATACATATACAATATATTCATATATGTATCTATGTATATAGTTACAACATAGTTGTTTTAAACGCTTGTAAATAAACAGTATGCATTTCAATATATTGCATGCTGCGAACAAAGCATAGTATCAGCAACAGCTGCTGGTTGTCATATGCGTAACGCTATACTAATTTGTGTTTGTCCGGTCGTTTCGGCAGTGAAAGAAAGAAGCACGACTGAGAAACAACTGGACAGAAGACAAACGCGACGTGAGTAATTAGAGCGAAATTACGGAGCGGCGTCTATGCGCAGTAAGGCATTCTCACGGCATCAAAAAGATATTTTGCAATAAATACACAAATACACATATCACGCGACTTGTACAATCGCAAGAGAGAGAGAGAGAGAGAAAGAGAGAGAGAGAGAGAGAGTGTATGACGGTGTATGACAAAACCGAAAATAATGACGACGCCGTCGGAGGAAGACACACGTGAATTAGAAACTTGTATCCGGAAGAGGTTCCGAAGGGAGAAGGAAGAACCGTCTACGGAGAAACGGAAAGGTGGGCAACAAGTGTGCCGGTCACGCGCCCACGTGCAGAACCGGAAAATCGGCGTTTATACACGAGATGACCGAAAGAATGCGGTATGACATCGTGCATCGCGGCGTAGCGATTTTTTCTGCTTAATCATACCCAATCTACACAGCTGATACGGCTCGAAATAGTTCACGAAACAAAGTAAAATCATCTGTCTTTTCTTTTCTTTAATTTTAAACGTAAATCTACATCACAAAAAACTGATCGTATCAAATTGGCGAGCAATTTGCAAACATTTTTTAAAATTTATTATTTTGTTATACAAGCAGAGCATTTAACAGTATTTACTTATATCCTAATTAGTGACACAAAACAAACTTCTGTGAGATTTTTATATTGTGGCACAAAAAATCGTTTGGAATTATTTATGGAAGTAAGTATTTTTAAATGTTTCAATTTATTATGAAAAATATTGTTAATCTTTGCCTTCTTTTGCAATTAATTTCATGCATAACGTAGGGGAGACCGGGGTAAACTCGACACGATTTTTTTAAAGGCAATTTTCAACAATTAATTAAAATTTTCAAAATTCTTTGTTTTGTCAGTGAAAAATTAACACAGGTTATATTATTGACCAAACTGACATTTATTATTTTTCCGTTAACTCGACGTTTCGACACTGGTTTTGTGTCCTTATCAAGAGATTTCTATATTTTTCGCAATTGCATTAGTCGCTCACAAAGTTCTTGCCGTTTAACTAACATTGTCAAGGTTTAAAAGAGTCGTAGTCTAGAGCGAGCCGCAGTCATGGTGTGAACGGAACCGACCGGTGACACGTCGTCCCGGATCGAAAGACAGCGACTGACTGATAAGGACACAAAACCAGTGTCGAAACGTCGAGTTAACGGAAAAATAATAAATGTCAGTTTGGTCAATAATATAACCTGAATTAATTAAAATTTTCAAGCGAATTCAATGGTACACATTTAAAGTGTTCTTTCAGATACAAAATTGCTTAAGAAAGTTTTGCTGTACGTCGCTTAGTTTTGCCCCCCAGGAAAGGAAAAGTGACGCAAAAACAAATTTTCAAATTAAAAAATGCTGGAGCAAACTCGACACTTTGCTTGATCGACACAATTTGATCTAAAACTTATTTTTTATTGTCTGAAAATAAAAATATATTGTTTATCGTGCATTTAGAAAGTACAAAAATTCGGAATGAAGTAAAACAATCATTGGAAATAATAATTTAAAAAATGTTGAATTTTAACAATTATTTTCATCTAAACTCATGTCTGAAAAACAATTAATGCAGGTAAACTCGCGATCGGACGCGTGCGCACACATTTTTCATGAGCCATACGGCTGCATGACAAGCATCGTTTGTTATTGGGAGCCGACGAAACGACGTGGTGTCGACTTTGCCCCGGATGTCGTTTTTCACTTTTGTCACTCCAAAAACATAAAAATTTTGAAAATATGCAAAAACGATTATCGGATTCGTATAGAGCATCAAATTTCCCATCAAAATCACTTGTCTGTAGATTCGTAAGAGTAAAGCTCGATGAAAGAGTAGCAATTTTCGAGAGATCAAAAAAATTACTTTTCGCTATTGAAAACGCTTATGTCGCATTAGAAATTACACCATAACTCTGAATGTCACAAAATTCTATTGACAGCGCTAACACATAAAGACGCATTTACAATAAAAAAGGCAAGTTTCTACAATAGATTTAAATTGGCAAAAAGCCTAGTGTCAAATTTGCCCTGATGCCAAGTTTGCCCCGGTCTCCCCTATACCTATAGGAATGTGACTATTTATGGAATCTTTCTTCTAGTATTCTGTTCTTTATAGAAAGTGTCATTATTAACAATACATCGCATTTTTTATTTATTTCTCTTTTTTACAAACATTGTTCTTTACTTATAATAGTGTACAAGATTATATTATTTAGTACAATTGATATTACTATTATTTGCAACATATAATGAATTAGTCGGAACTTACAAACTAATGATGAATATTATATTTGTTTTACATAACGCTTCTTATTTATAAAAATCTTTGGCCGATTATACACTAAATTTCCGCGAACACGCGACTTATTCATTATTGTTCTTTACAATGTTCTTCAGATTTTTGGCGCTTTTTCACTTAAAAATGATCAAAGTTGATAATTGTAATCTTGACTAGATACGATGACAGTAATTACAAATTCACAATTAATGAGGATTCAGTTTTATGATTCGCTAAAGAACAGTATCAATCTTAAATTCAAGTCCACTTTCACTAGCTACAGGAAAAAGAAAGCTATTTTACGACTAATAAAATAATGTACAATGATAATAGTTTCATTTCGTTCGATAGAAATAGTAAAAAAATTAAATCTTAGCCATGCTAAAAATGATATGTAATATAATATATTCGTTGTGTGTCTTACAATACGTTTACAAAATATATTTAAAAAACTATCACATACACATGCAAACGCATAAGCATAAACACAATAGGCTTCTTTTGCTACTATCGCGCTTAGTCTTTGGATCTTTAGCTGTTTCTTTTTTCTTCTTATACTAAAATATATAAAAAATACACAGACACGCGTGTTCCCTATTGCATTTGCGATGCACACTTAAGTAAAAAGATATTAGTTAACATTATTCTCGATGTCTTAATTTAAAGCGAAAATTTATTAAAAATATGTCAAATAATATAAAATATATATATATTTGAAAAAATTATTAGTATCATATACGTATTAAAATCGTAATTATATAACTTATTGCCATTTAAAATAATTTTTCGCATAATAACAATAGAAATAATTATCAGCAAAAATGTTTAATTCTTATAAAGACATAATATTAGGTTTTAGTCGGATATTATAATTATTTAGATTAAATTATATATGATAGTACCCAAGTAGCAAAGATGACGTTTAAAGACGTTTTATTGACGTTATGGACGTCATTAAGACGTTATTAAGACGTCATTTGACGTCACTTTGCTACTTGGGTACTGAGAAGGCCTTCTGTACCGTCTGTGCAGTTCAGTCTTTACATTTTTACAACAACCATTATAAATATCTTGTTACGCTTTAGATACGTATTGAAATATTATCTGTGCGTTTTGTTATTAATTTTATATCTTAAGATCATATGATAAATAATTTTGACTAACAATTATTCGTCCTTTTTTCAGTTAATTTTACTCATAATACACAAGTATCGCAGTTCCAACACATTAAACTTTAATAATTGATGATTTCTCAACATTTTAAGAGTTCAGTACAACAATGGTTTGACTTATTAAAATCTGGGAAAATTAATTTTGAAATCAATAATTTATTTGGATTAATTTAAAAAAAAGGAAAAATTATGATTATAGAGGTCATTGTTGCGACCCAAGGATTTGCCGAAAACTGGATTAGGTAAATGCGTCTTCAAGGTAACAGTGTTAGGGTGATACTGTGCATATGATACTTGCGTTTTCGACTTCGAGATCTATCTCTTGCTGTCGTGTCTTTGTAGAAGATCACACAAGGCAGCTATGTAGCTTTGTGCCATTTGCAGGGTTTCGAACTTGCTGAGTTTGTGGTCGGTCCCGAGACTCGGCACGACTTCGCGCAGCTTGTCAAAGGCGTCGTTCAGACCGTTCATGCGACGTCGTTCGCGCGCGTTCGCGGCGAGACGCCGACGCTTGAGTACCGTCGGTGACGGCGGCACGTCGCGAGATCTCCGTCTGCCCTTCCGCGGACTCACCGGCGGCGTCGTCGGCATTCTCTGAAAAAAATAAAAAAAATAAAAATTGCAGCTCGATCGGAGACGAATTGCATTCGGTGCACTTTTAATTATTATTATTATTTTAATTATTATTATTATTATTAATTATTAACAATTAGATTAAATATATATCATCTATATTAGAATTTAATTACTAGCTTTATTCACTTGGTCGAGCTTAAATTGCAATTTGAATCAATTTTTAACGCGAAAAAGTCGAGTATATATTTACCTTCGTCGAGATGATGGGCTCCCAACAATTGGCGCGAGGTTCGACAATCGTGAGGATCGGCTTGTTGTTCTCCAGGGGTTGATATCTCGGTTCTTGAGGAGACGTCTCGTAGCAATATGACGGCGGCTGATAATCCATTGAGCTTTCCTCGTACAATGTCGATCGCGGTGACGTGGTCTGATCCATCGAGTGCGGCTGTTCGTATCTGTAAATTTGCAAGGATACCCCGAAGTCGGTAATCTAATCTTGTCGATAAGACTCTCGGTGAAATCCTTAGTACCTTACGTTTTTACCTTTGCGGAGTGACGGGCGTCAGGACGCCGTAAGGTCCTCGATCGTATCCCTCCGGAGTCTTCGTGTATTCTGACACCATGTCCTTGGCGTAGTCCAGCATCTCGATGTCTCTTCGTGGCGTGAGCTCGCTCTCGTGCGTGCAATTGTCTTGATACGCGATTCTCGTGGACTCGTAGTTCGGGGAGTTGTACGGCGACGGATACAAGGGGTCGTAGCTCCTCGCCGAGTTCGGGTATGCGGGTGTTAACATGTCGGATTGCGTGTTCTGATAGTTGCAGTGATGGTTCGATAGCAGGGCCATGATTGGATTGGAAAAGTATTCGATTGACTTGGCACTACAAGAATATATCTCTATGCGTAACACATATGGAGCTTCATCAGAGTTGTGTCACATCAAGGTGAAATGTAGCTAAAGTAATTTTTTTTTATATACAAGTTCAAGATTCTTGTGTAAGCGAATTTTTTACATCTCTATGATCTTTGTCAAATTGTCCCGACGTCACACAGAAGAAAGGGCTGAAGCACCAGGTTCGTCAGCGTTGATTCACATTCTATTGAGTTTGTCAACACAGCTAAGTAATGGCTTTTAGGCGACTTATTCTTATGCTATTGCTTAATACACACCGCATTAAACAATTTTATCGCATCTAATAAAGTATATCCGATATAACATTGAGAGACGCACTTCTTGTGCGTCAGGAATACCGCATGTACCATTCGACACATCACCTACGCGAAATCAACCCGATTGAATTCTCGCGCGTACTTTGCTGATAGTGTCTTGTTCACTGCGTTCCTCGTATCGAAATTCTTGTACGCGTGGGCCGTGAGGCCGAGAAAGGAACATCGAGACCGAACTGTCAGGCATTCGATCAAGTCGGCGGAAGGACGCCAAGGTGGACACCACAATCCTGATCCTCGCGGTGTAAAGGCTCGAGTTTGAGTGCGCCTGGCGCGTGCCAGAGCGCCCGTCAGCAGATCAACATATGGTTCCCACCTTGTTTTCTACCTATCCCTCTGGGCGATACGTACACCTGGCAGTGGCTCATTCGGGCTCCTTCTGTATCTACCCCTCTTCTCCTCAGGTTCTTCGACATCCGCTCCGCAGGCACGCCCGCGCCGCGAGGCCATCCTACCTCCGCTCCGCGACCCGCTGAGAAATGACCGGCGCTGCGGCCTGAAAAAAAGAGCTTGCGGATGTTCTTTGCGAAGCAAGAGTTCACTTTTCTATTGTAATCAGCGGAATAATAAACAAAAAATTCTAAAATTGAAAGTCTTATTTCTATATATTGTCTTGATAAGAAATTGTTTGAAACCGAATTTTGTCTATGCTGATTTATTGAGTGCTATTATGAATTCATTGAAAACTCATGCGGTGTCCATTACAATATCGCGATGATGTTTTTAAATTTTGCGGCGCTGATCAGACGACGAATTAACCGTGGCGGCGGTGGCGGTGGCGGTGACATGCAGAAATTAATTTCCAATTTCCGATTTCCCGTCTTTCTTCCTGCTTAGTGCTCGGATCGTCACAATGACCGACGGCAGAACGACAGATGCTTTCACAATAGAAGCCACTCCACGTGTAATAACCATGTTATATCGTCGCATTTTTGTATAGGTAGCATCAAAAGAACAACGAAGACGTAACGCGACGGAGAGAGGAAACCAAGCATTTATGATTCTCGTGAATGCGGTTTTCCGTCGTCTATAATCTAAAAACGAAATAAAGGCGTGCAATTAGTAGTTTCAAATTCAATTGTAAGATAAGACTGACATTTTTTTTTTAAATGTCGTATTTAAATTACCAGATGTTGCATTTTACTTCGACATGTGTGAATTTCTTTATTATTTTAAGAAATATATATTGAAGTAATTACACACAAAATAATAATTCCGTGCGTTTTCGTATGATTAATTTTATAGCAATTAGACATGATTAGAATCATTTTAAAAACAAGGATTGGTGCCGTTTTGCTACTTTTTGTATCTTAAGTATCTTTATATTATTATCATATCAAATAAAATCAAATTCTTTAAAGTCACCGATATTTTGTCAGGTTCTTATTGCCCAACCGGATTAGGATTAGAAAGACATTGAGTGAGAAAGGAAAGAATGCGTTGATAGAATCGAGCGGCTTTTAAACTCTGGAAGTCATCAAGATAACGTGTACAACTGAGGGAGAGGGAACATAGTTGTGTAGGAAACATGATTGTTTAGGATGTTACATTTGACAGAAAATATAGATCGCACCTATAGGTTGTATTATTTATAATTCCATATATGTGTATGATTTTTGAGGTGCAAGGTACATTCAATTTGTCGCAAAGTTCGAGCTTAATAAGAACCCAGATAGCATAATGTCCAAAATCGGGACATAAAGATATCTTAAAGACGTCATTAAAACGTCTTTTAAACATTATATCATAAGACGTCTTATGTCCTAATTTTAGACAACACATGCGTGCTGTCTGGGAATCGTGTCTATCAAAGTCGTATCAATTTTAGTCTTTTACGATTTTTTTTAGCGCACCGTTGAAATGGTTCGAACAATATTCACGTAATATTGATCGATTTGTGACCGAGTCATGGACACTCTGTGGATGAATCGTACGCGCCGACGAAGGTTGATACGAATGCCGACCGCGAAAGGGAAGTGAGGGAAGGTAGTAAAATACAACGGTCGCGTGCTACTACCACTGCGGACCCCTTCGCCTTAAGACAATTAGCGATATCCATCTTCTGTGGGGTTCTACCCCTCGTACGGAACGGAACGGAACGGGCCCAGACTCGGCGCGCGTGGCATTCGTCTACGAGCGTATAACGAGAAGTGCCGCAAGGTGTCGGCCAGCCGAGGGCGGGAGATCTCAGGATAAAAACGCGCGCGGCGCCGGAAGGAAGGAAGCCTTCGAGAGTGATTGCGCCCGAGTCGAAATTCCCGCCGTTCGGTACCCTACCGTAACGTTGAACCGTGTGTGTTAATGTTGTCAACAGTACCAGAACTTTAAAAGACGCTAAAGCGCGACGCGAGCTAAAGTGTGACGTTATGGCGACGAGGCTTAATTTACAATTATTTTCGAGATAATAAAACACTTTCTCTCTTTTTATTCGAACGAGAGATGAACAATGGTATAATAACGACAAATATTTATAATAATTACTAAAGTGTGAATTATTTAGACTATATAATGGAAAATGTGAAAAATAATAAACAAAATGTTAATCCAAAATTTGTAAATTTGCGATGAAATACTAAAATTTGAGAAAATTGAATGTTTTGCTAAAAGTGGCGTGCAGCTGTCTTTCGATTTCCTTGTTGAAAATGAAATAAAAGTGAAATGACGTTGGGTGAAGGTTAATTCTATCTCTCTCGTGAACCGATGCCGTTGATAAGGAACTTTTAATAACCTTGTATTAAGAATCGCGATACAGTGGGGAGAAAGGTGTTGGTGACTGATCTGAAGGCGGGAGATCTCGTGATAGTGCAGCCGAGGAGAAGAGTGCACTCGGGAGGAACGACACCTTGCGCAACCGGGTGAGTAGTTTAATCGATAGATACTGCCGAGTGGACATTTAAATGCGTTCGATGTAAACAATTATGTCCCGTTAATGTTTAATTTCGATATAATCTTTTTGCTGCGGGAAACTTTGGCACAAAACGTGCACTGTATATGATAGACGCTCAACAATGAACGACGTTGTGAACGGCCAGAGTAACTTTTTGCCAGCGCATGTTCTTTATAACAATCGTTGAAGCTGTTGCTGAATTGTTTTAAAATTATTAACAATATTTAGTTGCTAAGCAATCTTTGATAAAATAATTGCCGAGCGCTTATAGGCGTCAATAGCATAGGATGATCGATATATGCTATAGGCTCTAACAACAATGAGAAAAGATTTTAAGCTATTTATGGTAACTATAGAGATATATTGGTGAATATTCTATATTCTATAGCAACAAATTTTTTCTGACTTTGGATACATTTGACTATGGTCATGATTGAGAACGTACCCTCGTCATATAATAATTAACTTTTCGTCAGCTCATATTCAATTCCATCCACATCCAATTAGAAACTCCATTCGAGGGATGGAGCGCGTGACGAGCGTATGATAGATCGACTATTGCTGTTTGCAGTTTCGACACTCCGCCGTTTTTGGAAACGAATCTGAAACGTATCCGAGAGCCATATGGCATCGCAAGCGTGTAGCGAAATCCTCGACGCATCCTCTAATTTTTCTTATGACGCTCAAAATCGTATTACATGTACGTTTCAAGATATATTTCAGAAAAATGAAATAATTTTATATAATTAAAATATATGCACATACCCAATCGATATGTGTAACGTATTAATATCGGAAGAACGTATGCAAAACGTAACATACTGACGTAACAATTATTAGATATATGTATAAGTTCATTTAATTTAACAAAAAAATATCTCTATTTCTGTAAATATGTGCGCGATAACCAATTATGTGTACCGAGTTGCAATATTCCATATCCATTTCATAGCGTTTAAAATGACACTATTTATTAAGCGTTCACTTTCCGAAAATCTTTGCAACAGGGTTGCAAGATCAGATCGAAAATATCGTAGATACGCGATGTTAGAAACATCGATAATATACTTCCTCATTTCTATTCTTACTCGGCACTCTATTACCGATTCGTGATAAAATAAACAGAAAGGACTTGATATAGGACAGAAAGTCGTTGCGAGGTGGAGAATTCAGAGAAGCGTCTTGAAAATTCATACCTTCGAAATGACAGATAATACAAAGCAAATTGCGTCCTGTAATTACGATACGTCGCTTTTGCAACGAACATCAAGCCGCAGAATTAGATGTATACCTTTCAGCAATCATTTGGCATCAGCTATAAGTCCTAATAGGAACAATTGTTTCAAGAGTTGTGTTACACAAAGAATAGTTAATATTGCGAGGTATTGCGTATGACTGGACGATATGGTAAGGATCGAAAAGACCCGTGATGCCCTTAGTGCGCCACTAACATAAGTAAAATGGATTTCTTCGACGGGTACAACTACAGAGTCAACAAAATTCTATTGTCGGCAATCGGCCAATGGCCTTACCAATCGTCCAGGACGAGCCACGCAATAGTCTTTGTCATAGTAACTATAGTTTGCTTGCAAATTCTCACTAAGGTACGACGACTATCTACTCCATTGCGTTATTTCGAAGAAATAAATTCATTCAACTCACGCTTCTCCTTCATGGCGTAGAATAAACTTTATATTAAAAAGACGAGTCGTAATCGTGGATTTAATTTTTTTCGCATAACTATGATAATAATTAATTCTTTCAAGCTATGTGGTATGTTCCCCTACATTTACGATATGGACATCGTGATCGAGTGTCTTATTCCGATAATGGTTGATGTATCGGGTATGACAAAAATAATGAATTCCACACTGTGCGTGAATGAGGTATGTAGGATCATTTTCTCTGTGATATGTATTATATCTGAGTAATTAACTTCATTCATCCTGACGTGATAAAAATGTTTTTCTGCTCGCGAATTGTTTCAATGTGTCAATTTACGAAGCGTACCGCCAAACATTTAACTCCAACAAAACATAAAACCTCAAGCAACGTATTGGTGTACTTTGAACGTATACTTAAATAATTTATGTAAATAAATTTATAGATCAGGGCATTACTCGATCGAATACGAGATGATTTTTATTCGTTGAAAAATTCCAATAATACAAAGATTCTTAAAAAATACGCGGATAGTGGCAAAAAATCTTCGACTATTTACGTTTGTGAGTATTAGTCCGAGAACGAAATTTTCATATTCGTTTAATTAACTTATTAGGCCTATATATCTTCAAATGACTTTTATTTAGGTGTGCTATATTCGCTAACGGTAGTATTTATGTTTATGCCTTTCCAACCGTTAATCCTTCGTGTCGCCAACGCCACGACTCGGCCCATGTTGCACAGAGTCGAATATTACGTCGACATGGATCAGTTTTATTTTCCAATTTTGATTCACGGATATTTTACCGCTATAATTTGCGTTACGTCCATCGTCGCAACTGATGCGATATTTATCATATTTGTGCAACACGCTTGCGGGCTATTTATCATAACTGGGTGAGTAACAGCGTCTCACGGGAGAAAATTTAACAAGAGGGCCCTCTTTTTTCTCAATTTTATGTCGTTATCCTTGAAGCTCACGAATAGAACAAGCGATACAAGAGGCATACCTGACCGGAAATGTCAATCCCCCAATTACGAAAGATACGGCATATCGAAATATGATACAATGCATTCACGATCACAGAGCGGCTATAAGGTTTGTGTCGTTTTACACCTCGATTATTTTAATCTGACCGTAGAGATATCTAAACACTGATTGTTTTGAAATAAAAATAGAAATTTATGTAGTCTTATACAAATATATGATTTAATTAATTGTCTAATTTTCCCGGTATCACGACGTGTTCATTCATTTTTATTGAAATATATTTGAATCAAGGTTTGTTAATCTCATGGAAATTGTGTACTCCAAGCACTTTCTGTTTCATTCCGGGCTGAATATGATAGCTATGAGCGTTACGAGCGTTGGGGTATGTGCGTTTTGTACATATTATTATGCTAATTGCGATAGTATCGAGGATTGTCAACTAATTTAGTAATGTACCGGCAGATGAACGATCGCAGAGATAAGTAATTTCGTAAATCTAAAGTTATTTTATATCTTTGTTAGACAGCATCGTGCTTAAAATCGGAACATAAGACGTCTTATGTCCCGATTTTAGACACGCGTGCTGTCTGGGATCTTACATTGATTTACACAAAGAATAGGCACTCTTTATTACTCTTTTAATCATATTATTATTAAATTTATTATATATTTGATTGGATGTTTAATTCTAGGATTGTCATATATCTGTGACAAAATTTCAAGATGCTAATTTGCTTCTTGGAATTTTCTCCTTTCTTAAATGTTTGTATTTCGCAATGTAACAAGCAAATTTGAATTTTGATTTTATAATGGTATTTTGCAGTATGTGGAATCCCCCCTCTAAAAAAAGATTTGTTGAAAAATATACATTTTTATTACAATTACATGAATAGAAATATTCGAAAGGTGGAGAAAGTCCATTGTGTAATCTAAATTAAAAAATAATATGTGTATAGTCGCTCTCGTACAATTAAAATATTGATTAATTATCCGCCCACAATTAATGTAATGTCGTTTAGGCTGTGTCAAAATCGGACGATCTGTCTGAGCTTCTTAGACTAGTAGCGGTAACGTGTGCGTTATCATTTCATCTATGCTTCGAATGTATTAATGCTCAGAGATTAATAGATAATAGTGGATATCTTCATACTAATCTGTAAGCATTAAAAACAAGATAATTAATATTATTGTTAGAAGTATATGAACATAACAATTAATTTAATAGATACAATGAACTAGCCTAGTCAACACGCATGTCTTAAATCGGAACATATGACGTCTTAAAGACGTCATTAAGACATCTTCAAGACGTCTTATAATGATGTCTTTAAGGGGATCCTAAAGTGAAGGCTGAACTTCCTCGACGTCGGTAATGTCAACATTTCTAATTCTGTTTTCTTGTCATATATCTATATCTGTCCTTGTCTAACGAGAGGCATCTGTCTTTGTTTGATTACTGCGCCATCTCTTGCCACACGCAATATTGCTTATCCTGTCAACCTGAATGTGCTTTTGCACATATAAAAGTTATATAAAGTAATCTTTTTTTCTAGGTTTTCAATCTTAGATCTAATTGCACGATATTGTTCTTAAATGTTGTCCCTAGGTCATGCCGGTCTAATTTTGTGGATATTTATCGTGGAATTTTTGTACAAAGCAAATATTGTCGTCATGTATACCAAAAATTAACAAAAATATTAATTTTTTTTCGTTTTCGATATAAATTTGACCACCATGCTCTAGATTTTGATGCGTACTTTAATTCTAGACAAGAATTTTGCATTTCTATAAAGTCAATTAAAAGATTAGTGCTAAGAAAAAAAACCGGTATTACAGACGGCTTTAGGATCCCCTTAACGGCTGGCGGTATGTTCGTTTTGTGCATGGAAACATTCGCCACGGTAAGATAATTTGCTCTGAACTTATAGGGGAATAAAAAGGGTATGTCGGTTTACGTGAAAAAAATGTATTGTGTCGCATGCCTCAATTAAAATACATATCTATATGACTGTTTGTATGTATGTACATATCTATATAACACATTTCTTCATTATGTTGCCAATCGCAAATGTATTAATTTTACATTTAAATACTATACTTACAATGTTGTCCGTTCTTCTTCAAGATTTTAAAGACTGCTGTGTTATATTTTACTTTCTTACGCTCGGCGCACATTGATGGGCACAGCTTTCCGAGTCTTGATGTAATCATGATATCAAGAGGCAACAACAATCCATTAGTTAGATCTAGCCCCGACTAGCATTGGTTGACTAGAAATTTTGATCTGAAATTGAAAGCAATCGCTATAATTACTAAAATTGTATCTTATATCGAAGTTACTAAACGGATGCGAACTATATATTTAATATCAGTATCATATATATATATATATATATAATATATATATACATATTCTATATAGTGCCATTACTATTAAGTATTCGATATATTAAGTAATATATCGAAATGATTAGTCTTGTATCAGATGTCTTTTTCGAAAACAACGCGTACAATTTAATTTTTATAGATGGTATATCTCCATCTCTCTCAGACTGTCTCTGACTTCCGCGTGGTCAAATTAAAAATAACTCTTTTAACATTACACGCACAGCGTTATCGGGATATCTAACAGGTACTATAGAAGTATTGTCGTGTAAAGCGTATTACCTCGGAAAGTATGAAAAGAAAGTAGAGTAGGCTCTGCGAACGATATATTACAACGGAAGGAAGTGAATTGAAGTGAAATTCACGCCGATCTCTTCCTTCTGTATAAGAAACAACCAGGAGGTTTAAGCGAAACGTTGCGTATACACTTTTAACTTTCCGCAATACTCGACGCTTAACTCAACCCCTCGCATTGCGCGGTCACGAAAAAGACACTGTACAGAGAATTTATCTCTTTCTTTTAGCTGCCTCGTGCACACTATCGTGCACCTTGTGCGTGCTACATCATATCGATTTGATTTCCTTCCGCGGTGCAATTTTTCTCAATTACGCGCCGTCCAAACGGAATGCTTGACGAAGCCAATAAATTCCTCCCCACGCGTGGATGTTTTCCGCTTGGTAAGGTTTGGCAAGCGTCAGTGCTATACCTGCCACGAAACCGTCAAGATGGACAGTGTTCAAAGTCAATATATGCGTATCAATCATATCCTGATGTGCCTCATCGGTCAGTGGCCGTACCAGGAGAGTTGGGAAAAGTTTCTCATCCAATTCGTCTTCGTGCCCGCGGTTTTCGCTCAGGCAGTTGTTCAGGTAAACTCCCCTTTGAATGTCCCTTAAATAACGCAAAAGATAAGTTTTTATAAATTAATCGTGAAACAAAGAACAAGCTAATAATTAATTGTGCGTATATATAAAAGATCAAGATGGAAGTAAATTACTAAATTAGACTATTAAATTAGAAATTATATTTTTATCTTTTCGATGAATAAGAAGTCACATTTATAATTATGTAACAAATAATATACTATTAAAATAACAATACTTAACATTCTCAATTTTAAATTGGAATTGTTAACGTGTCAGGACGACAGCGTAATATAAGATTATACATTTTTAAACCAGTTCGAAATTGCAAGAAGACATGTGTATTATATTTTTGCAAGCTTATATTCTTTTTTCGGAGAATATTGATTTAACTATATGATATCTTAAATTAGATGTGGTCATGCATTTTGAGAAATTTTGCAGGGTGGCGGCATGATTACTGCTTGGTTTGCGGATGACATCGACGCGTTTATGGAGGGTTCGTCGCCTTTTGTAATTAGTTTAATGTGCGTCTGTAAACATATTAATTATACGTACAATCATGAGCAGGTATGTCCTTTTTCTTGAAGATGCGAGAATAATCGATTTTCTGATACTAATGGTAGTTATTCGTCATATTAAACGTAGATGAAGAAGCTCGCCCTCACAATGGCGGACGATTGGAATATCTATTCAAAGCTTAGTCACGAGTATCATATTCTTTGTAGGAATTACGCGATGGGTAGAAAAGTCACGCTTGCTTACGCAGGTAAAAATTATATCGAAAGTTTAAAGGCTTTGTAAATTGTACAAATTTTAAACATATACATATACATATATACATATATACATATATACATATAAATATATACATATATACATATATACATATACATATATATATTAAACATATATATAATTTATGTACAATATATGTGATATTTAAATTTATATGTATAATTCTAATTAAATTGAAATTTATACAGGATATAGATACTTTTTAAATGAAGCTAAAATATCTCCCGTACGTTAAGCTGAATAGTTACAAGCCAGGTTCGACTTTTGATTGATACATTATTATTTACAGTCTCCCTATATGGCTCAATGGCCCCCTTTCTGGCGGTACCGGTTATAATAAACACAGCCGGCTACATGGGGTTGTACAACATTTCCGAGGGTAGACCCCTGATGTTCCGCACGGAATACTTTATAGACTCCGAGAAGTATTACTACCCGTTGCTGGTGCACTCGTACATTGGCACCCTCGGATTCGTCACGATCGTTGTGGCGATCGACACGATGCTGGTGTTTCACGTTCAACATGAATGTGGGATGTGCGAGATCCTAGGGTAACTCCGCAATAATGGCACTTTGTAAGACTGAACAACATTTTTCATTCAAAACGCATTCTCGTGTGTTTGGTATACCCGCGTCTACATATGTTACTTGCAAGAAATCTGATCAGTGTTTATCTCATCTCGTACTAAACTATTTCATACTGTTATATATTTCTTACACGTTTTATTAAATCTTTGATACATAGAAATATATATACATTTTTTGTTGTGTAAATCGAGTATTATTGAGCGGGAGAGAAAGAGTGACTATGGAATAAATATTTGTCATTGGTCATTGAGTGTCTTATTAATGCGTACGTTACCCGAATTCGTTTCATACACCACGTCGTGAAGATAGAACGATATATGATTACCCAAGGTAGAGACAACAATATTAAGTTTAAATATTAACGTATTTCATCTACATCACTCGATCGAATTTCAACATCCTTGGATCCGACTTATGTTTAAGATACATTTATCAATGAGTATTTTTTAGATATCGGCTAGCACGGATTGTTGACGCAGATACTTTAGACATAAATTTGCATTCAGATAAAGAGGAGGCTGCATCGTACAAACATGTTAAGAATTGTGTAATCATGCACAATCACATAATAGAGTTAGTATCTCTGAATAACTACATTATATCCTTTGTTGCTGATAATTTCATGTGCATTATAGCGTTTTTAATGTAAATTATGTCAATTGATATTTTTTATGTGTGTACATATTCTATTCAATTTATGTATATTTATTTGCATTATGTACTTTATTTAATAATTTAATTTCTTTATGTCGACCCCTCCGCCCAGTATTAAAATATATTTTCTGGAATATTTATTTTAGCATATATATATATATATATATATATATATATAATATATATATCTTTATTAACTTTATTAACTTTTTTCGGACATAAAGATATGCTAGGCGTATTGAGGTTGCGAATACGACATCGTATTTTTTTCAACTAGGTTGCAATATGATGGGCATGACGTTTACAATATTCCAGGTTAGTGCTGAATACAAATATTATAAAAACACACATGCGACTATAATTATTATCACTGATAAACTTTATGTCTATTAAGGTGATCCTAAAGCCGTGATCCTAGCCGGTTTTTTTCAGTTTTTTTCTTAGCACTAATCTTTTAATTGGCTTTATAGAAATGCAAAATTCTTGTAGAATAATAGAATTAAAGTACGCATCAAAATCTAGGTCATGGTGGTCAAATTTATATGTGGTGGTCGTCACGTATAACAAAAAATATTAATTTTTTTTTGTTTTCGATATAAATTCGACCACCATGACCTAGATTTTGATGCGTACTTTAATTTTAGACAAGAATTTTGCATTTCTATAAAGCCAATTAAAAGATTAGTGCTAAGAAAAAAACCGGTTAGAATCACGGCTTTAGGATCACCTTAAAAGTTTTGTTTTCTTTATGATGTCATGCTTAAGATCAAAAAATATTTTTTAACACACTTGTAATTATACATGTGAGAGTATGACAAAATAAACTTATATTTACGAATTAGGCAGTGGTAAAGTTGAGCGATCCAAACGAAGCTTTGCGATATGCATCGTTCACGGTGACTCTGCTTTCCGTTCTTTTCCTCGAAACCTGGCCGGGTCAGCAGTTATCAGATTATGCTGACAAAATTTTCGCGTACACGTAAGTATCTCGTAGTGGAAGCATTTTGCTGCAGCTCATATAGCAAATTTCTAAAAACGATTATTGTCCAATAACAGCTGTTCAGATATTTACACATCTGGTTTATGCAACCGCTTTATAAACACACATTTGCCAGGAATAATTGTATATAAATAGGTGATTTTCTGGTGAAAAAATTACTCATTTTCAGAAATTTTCTAAGAATCCTTTATGTTTTAGATTTATAAAAAATTCTGAAAAATATATATAAAATTTTTCAGATACTTTCAGAAATAATTGAATGAAAATTTTTGGGATATTTCAGTACCTATGTATGAATATTTCTGATAAATTGCGCGAATTTTCTCATATTTATTCAGATTTCTATAAAATGTTGGCAGGAAAAATCTGAAATATGTCATTATTATTTTGTCTGAGCCTTTCTGAAAAACGTTTTTATTTGTATAAATAATTTGAAAAATTTCGAGAAAGTCTTAAAAATTTTAAAGAAATTTTGACTAATTATGACTAATATTGCAAAAAATTCTGAGATATTTTTTCACCAGGGTTTTTAACTAAAAAAATTAATCCGACGCATCTATCTTTTAGAACTAATGGACAATGGTATCAGTCTTCGCTGAGAGTGAGAAAAGTGATCAGCATTATGCTGATGAGGAGTTACATGCCAGTTAAAATAACTGCGGGCAATCTATACACCTTAAACCTAGCAAATTTTTCTGCTGTAAGACTTTTTTCCAAAATGACATCTAATATCGTATTGCCGTAAAGATTGATATATCATCATTTTAAGGTCCTACGCACGTCGTTTTCTTACTTCACTGTCCTTTGCTCTATGCAATGAGTGAGGCTCGCTTCAATTCAAAAGCAATTATTGATGATAACAGCTACAAGTAACTGAGCCTTTACCACCCTTTTTATGATGACTTGTGAGTTACAGTGACGATGATAGATGACTTGGTAAAATTGATATAAAATATTCTATAAGACGTCATTAAAATATTTGCGAGAAAAAGAGTTAAAAACACTTTGAGACAGCAATTGCGATTTTTTCCTAATTTTATTTAACTACATAAAAAATGTGGGTAAATGTGTATAAAAGGTCAAACCTCACCGATTTTATATCGCTACTTAAATATGTTTGTAGGGGTTCTTTTTGAATAATTCTACACAAGAAAGAAGTGTGGAACGGCATTGATTTAAAAAAAATAGCAAATTGAAGTTTTACAATTTTAACTTTTTTTAGTTTAGTTTAGTTTAGTTCGCGTAGAAAATCATGGGTATTTTGTCAACAATTGAATTGACCAATTTTGCACAATTCGTTAGAAGCTTTCACCATGCAACTACACGAATTTCTCAACCTCGTTAATAATAATAAAATAAGTCGGTCAATTCGATTGTGGACAAAATATCCATAACTTCGCGAACCGAAGTCCACTCACTCCTGCTTGTGGGGGAGGGGCTATACACAGTATACACACATCAGCAAATTACTTCCCTTAGTACTGAAAAAATATATTATTACAGCATATACAAACTTTAATGTTGAACTTCAATTTGTTGTATCTTCTAAACAATCTAAACTAATACCGTCCCACTTTTTTCTTGGTTAGAATTACTCAGAAAGACCTCCCCTATAACATTTTTAATATAGCGATAAAAATCGGTGACCTTTTTATACACATTCACCAAAATTTGGATGGAAGATACAAAGCTTTATTATATAAGGAGATACGTATCTTCTAGTCAATGAATGAGTTATTTGTTACTAAATCCCGAGGGCCATTACATATCTCTGAAATTGCTCCTATTACATTCAAGTTTTTATTGCATGGACCGTAGAAGCATTAAGTACGAGAAGCCTGTACGCATTGCCTTAAATAAAATTTCACGTTATTGACAGTGGCATTGTGCTTGCCTTACGGTATCATTAAGTACACTTACCATGTTATAAGTCACATAGGACAGAACAAGAACTTTCCCCGCAGTTATTGTCAGTGGTTTTCTACTTCTCATCATGATCATTATTAGAAGTTTTTGCGACATTATCGGCATCTTGTACCATTTTATTTTGTACCTGCAAATACGATTATTACACTCTTTATATATCTATTCTGAAAAGTAATTTTAATCTTAATTCGGTTAAAAAAATAAACTAATTTTTGAGATGACTACCGGCAAAAAGAATTAAGTTAATTCAAGCGATTTGTTTGTAAATTCATGATATTTATATAGCGCCCATTACGAAAAATTCATAATTGCTGTTAAACGTTTTGTGGATATTTTGTAAAACATACGCGGAGTCATACACCTTTTCGTTGCAGTCTATGATATTCTGACCTTGCCAGTTTTCAAAGAACGTGTTAAGCAGAAGCCCGCTCAGATAAGTTCCGTACGGCATAAGGCGATTGATGTTTTCCGTATTTGTTATAACCTAAAAAATTTGTCATTGATATATAAATGTGATTATACTTAAGCTCACTGCATATAATTATTAAGTAATTTACCTGAAATCCTACAATGCTTAACAGGGACACGTTAACTGTCATCTGCATAAAAAATGGTAGCCTATACAGCGATTCTATGGCTGTAGCAAATCTGACATAATATGCACGAAGACATTAATTTATTATTGATTATATTATTTATGAACATTATTGTGGAATCATATACTAACTGTATTGCCTCTGTGTGCCTTCGAACACTATATGCGATATTTAAATAATATTTATTTTGCATGGTCATTATGTCGTCGTCATTATTTTCAAGTTTAAATGCGTTTTCCAAATGGTATCTGAAGTTCGATATTATAATAGTATCTATTGAACAAGAATATCTTATGCTATTGATACATACATATATCTATGTCTAATTATGTATATTATATTTTGATTAAATGCTGAATGAATAATTTGAGACAGGTGTACTTAATATAAATTTTTTTAAAAAAATAGATGTAAAAGTTAAAGATTAAACTTAAAATATTTAATTTTCATGTATTCGCCGAACTTACTTCAGAGCTTCAAACAAACCGCAACAATGCTGAACACACGTTAAATATAGGATATTGAACGAAGTCAATATCAACGTATAAAAGAATTCACATAGGCCGCCCTGTATGAGAAGAGGAATGTATTGCATTTGCAAATCAAGCATGTAATTGATGTGATGAGCCGATTCTGTTTGTGCGTCCTGCGTCTTATTTGACGTGTCCTCCTTATTGTAGGAAAATCTGGTCATCAAAGGTGTGAACGCGAAAAGCACGGCGTGGCCAAGTATAATAGCTAACGAAAGTATCAGGTTTATAGGCATTAGTAAATACATAATTATAATACGTACGATTACAAAACAGGATATTAAAATATATAAATTATATTTAGATTTAATATTCCAAAATTAATAATGCATCAAATGCACACGGAGAAAAACAACTTAGCTATCGTAGCAAAATCATTGCTGCTACTGTATACTTGATATGAAAGCAAACATATTTTGCAATAATCATAATTAATTACTTTTTGCTATGGTAAGATCTATTTTGCTGACAAAATAGAAAAATTCAAATTGTGAGTAAATTTTATGTTAATAAAATGTGAGTAGAGTTCATGTTTATTTGCTGTTAAAACGAACCGTCTAATCCGTCGCAAATACATTTTGCTATTACAACAAAATTGGAGCACAATAATTTACTCTACTAAGAAAATTATTTCAGCAAATAAAATTGGTCTTCATTTGTTGTCTATATGATATCTAATAAATTTTGCTGCAGTAATTACATACTTGCTGTACGAGCAAATCTTTCTTCTTTATGTAAGATGTATTAGACAGAAATTTTCTTGAGCAAGTATTATTCTCTAAATGTAAAGTTACATATATTATTCGGCTAATTCTTGAAGGTATTTACATAATTCAATTAAAATAAAAAATACGCTATATGCTACATAGTTCGTACTAAAAATAAAACATTCTGTAAGCGCAGAGAAAAATTAACGGAGCTACCGGGACTCGAACTCGGGATCCTTCGCTTACACGCCTAGCACTTAGGCTGCTACCCCACGACTGCTCCACTACTACGCTAATTTCTCCGATCCCTTATCAATACTGGCCCTACGGCCCCAAATCGCCTACAATTCTAGAAAAAATTCTGTGTTGCGATAGTTCTATATGATTACTGTACGAATCGATAACTTACTCGAATAAACGTAGCCGAATCTTCGCGCAAACAATACATACGAGCGCAAGATTTTAGCCTCTTGATTCGACTTAGGAGAACACCAGTGTTCCTGTATATCCATGAGAAGCATTTTGATCTGTGAACATCTTCGTTTTTAACACTCTGACATATTAACTACTTTGTGTTTTAATTATAATGGTATATTTGATCACTTTTATTTACGCACCTTAGGTAATTTATACACCGTGTAGATTAATTTAATCGTTGACGCTATGGCGAAAAATAGCATCGACAAGCAATCAAATACCTCGAAAAAATCTGGCCAAACTTTGATCATACACAGCATCTGTATTTGCAGCAGATTAGTAAATTAGTAAATTTTATAAAAATATGTATAAAATGTAAAAAAATTATGTGTTGCGATCTTTTTAGACGAATCTTTGCTTTTCCTTTGCTGGAAAAAAAAAAAGAAGGAAGGTATGCCGTATAATCGTTCGGGAACGAGACACGGAGATTAATCCAGAACCAGGAGGACCGCAACGCATATTTTTTTTTACAAATCTGTACACATTAGTTTCTTGGAATAATTAACCCTGACAGCACTATTACGTGAGAGAAACGTATTATTTTGGTCGCAAAGTCGCAGAATTTATTATACGTCTTTTGCACGTCACAGCGACGTAACATACAACTGAAATAATCAGATTTTAATTAGCTGTCTGTTGCGGTTTTATAATTGATATTTCGGAAATAAATAATATTTTGTTTCTTATTATAAATTTAAATTTTACACGTAACTGTTGCGTTGCAGACGTTGCATAGAATAATGTTTTATAGTTGATTATACTGATATTTCAGTTATGTTTACACTGTTGTACATGTTATATTATATAAATAAACATTAGTTAAATCCGGTTATATAACAAGTTAAGTACAAATGTAGAAGATTGGTACAACGTACATAATACAATAAGTTTAATTATTCAACGTACATGATACAGTAATAACCAATTTTCTATAAATATAATTAAAAATTTTTTTTAAATTATAAAGACTGGTTTTTTTATATTATTTAGATAAAATACTTACTGACAGATTAAGATGCATTATTACACTTGGTTGTAGCAAGAATTAAAAAACTGGTAATTATTGGTCCAATGATGTCAAGATGACCAAATAATACCTACTTTAACCCTCAGGGTACGTACTGGGTTAGCGTAACCCAAGCGAATTTTGAAAGTAGCGCCATTTCAAAGGAAGTGAATGGTGGGGGTCCGTACCGGGGGGGGGGGAATCTTTGAGGTAGCTACAGTATGTGAGCGCCAAGGGGCAGCGTCAGTCTACGCTTGGTGCTCAAGTTATACGATTTTAAAAATTGAACTCGGGTAGTCTACACCCAGTCCGTACGGAACGTTACAAAATCCGTGATTTTTAAAAAAATTTTGTGTTTTTTGAGTATTTGCTGCAGTAAAGTGTTTTTTTTTTTTATTCTAGTATGTATAATTTACTATTTTTAATATACTTTTGTGCATTCTAACCTCAAAATGATGCTCTGTAGCATACCAGCATAATGTATCCGTGCATGCACGTTAATATTATTTCAATTTTTGTTATTTATTTATATTATACTAATCAACAACATCCAAAAGAACTATTTTTACTTTAAAATATATATTTTTTTTGCGTTATTACGATAAATCAAGCAAATAACGTTATATCGCTATCGCAAAAAAACGGGTATTTTCATAGTTAAAAAAAAAAATACTTTTTGGAATGGATCAAAAAACGAATTCAGCCATTTCAAAGAACAACTTTTTAGCTTTCAAACGCGACTTAAAAAATGTCGATATCTTTTTTTTCATAAAGTTATGCAATTTAAAAGAAAAAGTGAATTTTTATGAAAATTTTTTGAGAATGGTTTACATTTTTAAATGTATCTTTATTTAAACAAGTAATGTAATAAATCTATCAACGCCATTGTATTTTTGAGAAAATTTCCGATCCAAAGAAAAAAAATTTGTTTTAATTGACAAATTACAGTCCAATATATACAGTCAATCAAAGTCGCCGGGTTAGGCTAACCCATGTTCGTACGGAACGTAACTTTTTTATAGTCTGTACCCTGAGGGTTAAAACGTCTTTTGTGATATCTTAACGTTATACAAAAACGTTATAATATAACAATTTTTAAATCATTTTTATAAATAATTTTTTTGTAATATAATTGAAAAAAATATGAGAATATTAACAGTTGTTATAGAACATTATAAAGTATTACAAAATTAACTTTTCATAAATATCTATATATATATATATATATAAATTGTATTGTATTAATATTTACTGATTACATATAAGTGTTGGGTCATCCGATAGATGGCATCCGATGGGATCCGTTTCTCGTATTTAACATATGGCGATCAAACAATGGTATAAGAACGATATATAAATGACGGGACTTATATCAGGTTGCTTTCCAAAATTCACTCTAGGTAACTAAAATCTATAGTTTACGTCACGTACACTATAGCATTTCAGTTAACTAGAGTGAATTTTGGAACGCAGCCCAGTTGTATCGTTGAGTCCACTTTTATAATAATGTGTGGCACACTTTTGGATTAATGTAACCTTATTTTAGTTAATGGTACCTTTATTTTTAAAGAATGATAATAATTAAATAAGCACAAAGCATAAAACTAGTAAATAGATAAACAAATAAATATATATTTTACAATAAATCCCGTAATTAATTAATTTTGTATATAATTTTGATTTTCACAATCCTCTACGTTATTAATATGTCATTAAACGTCTAAAAGGCCCAAAAATCATAAAATCACTTTTTTTTAATATCTTGAAATGTCAGTCTATGAGTCAGTGTATGAGTCTATGAGTCAGTCTATGAGACAGTCTGTCATTTTTGGTTATCTACATTGGTCATTTTTGATCATTTATAACCAAATTTTGACGTTACTTTGACGTATGCTTGTTTGTTTTAATTTTTGCTACAATCAGGTACATCTAATGCATTTTGTCTCTCAAGTATTTTATGTACATAATATCCCAGATAGCAAGTTACCCACAGGTTGCTGTCAATTTGCTTAAAACTTCTCTGCTAAGTTGCCTTCAATATTGAGGAAAGCGGCTTCCGATTTTGCCTATTGGATTGCCGACTTTTATTGCCACCAAAACGGTTGCCAACAGATTGTGCATGGCAACTTTTATGGCAATAAGTATGCTACGAGTTTTTCGCAGTTGCTCTAAACGAAATTACTGTTGTCCGGTGACAGCAATATGATGACAACTAAAGGGAAACTTATGCCAAACACTATTTCCTTTTTATGCCAAGGAATGCTTGGCTATCTGGGATAGTAAAACCAGTTTTCAAAACCGATCAACCAGTAAGTACTCAACACGTCGCATAAAGTCACAAATACTATACGTTACTGCGACATGTCTGTCACCAGGAATTTGGCTGTTAGTAACGTGACAGCGACATGTTAATCACGTTTCGAACCCTAATTGAGACGTCGCTATAACGTTACGTGCGACGAGTTTGCATGTCATAGTGATAGCGACGTGCTTGCTACGTACGGTGCTGTCAGGGAACACTCGCCCTTCGCCCTCTATTTTTTTGTCTTTCTTATAAGTACCTCGAACGAAATTCCGGATCCAAAGAGCAGCGTGAACCAGATGTACAACGCGTAACGTTTGCTTAACGCTTGGAAGGGCCATATACCACACGCGAGCAACAGAATGCGAATATTGCTATAGCACGACTTCCGAAAGAACTGGTCGACATGATGCATCTTTTCCCCGATCGCCGATGCTACTTTGTGCGAATGAAATTCACATTTGACTCATGAGAGATATAGATCACGTTGTTTATTCTCTCATAGAAAATTCCGTTTAACATTGATCGCCATGTGTAACTGCACGCGCTGTCAATTTCTACGAAACCACTAACGCTGTCATTTGTGATCGATTGCGAAATTGAGATTGTAAAACTGCACGTCTATACGATTGAAAATATTGCCTTTCTTGCGGGTTTTGTCAAAAGAGTATACATCGAAAGACGATAGTTCTCTTCTTGGTAATAACAGTAAAAAAACTCTTATTGATTTGCTCTATAAATTGGTATGGCATGGAAATTGTCAATACTCGTCCCAGCGTTAATGCCAAGGAGATAAAAACTATATGCTCATACATTTAGTTTATATAT